CCGCGCCCCGTCGAAGACCCCGCGCGCGTGGAGGCGCTGGCCCCCGCGGGGGCCAGCGCCGCGCGGCAAAGTCGAAGACGGGGCGGGGCGTCGCGACGGAGAGCGCGAAAAAAAAGCCGATAACCTGTGGGAGTAGGTTGACGAGCAAAGAGTCAAACCTACTACATTGCCTGCAGGTAGAGGTAGGCAAAGGAGAAAGTCGCGAGCCCTTTTGCCGTGCGCCGCGGCAGGGGCGGCGCGGCACCCGGCGCCAATACCTGAGCCGAGACGTCGGCAGCATATAAGGATTTAGCGGTGATACGAGCGGACGTCGCGCGCAGACGCCGCCTGGGGCAATGGCCCGTCGAAGCTCCTGGGCCCAGCGCGTCGCCCGCGGGCCGCCCTCATTTCTGGCTTCGCGTCAGGCCTCGCGGAAGCGGGCCGCGAGCGAAATCTTCGCACGCTGCCAGAGAAGCCCATCGAACGCGGGCCCCGCAGCATGGGCGGCAAATCCACCCCCGCGGGCCCGAGGCCACGCGAGCCACCGCCTCGCGCTCGACCGCGGCCCAGTCCGCCGGGGCGGGGGGGGGCTGCGCCGCAAACCCGGGCGCAGATGCGAGGTCGATCCTGGCCGCGAGCAGCGCGAGCTGCAAGCCGCAGCCGACCTTCCTCCGCGCGACGGCCCCCTCGAGAAATTCACGCGTCGGTTCGGCCCGCGAAGCGACTTCGCTGCCCAGGCCGAGGGCGAATCCGAGGTGCCCCGCAGCGCGCGCAGTCTTCATGGCGCCCCGCCGGGGAGCGCGGGCAACGAGCGAGTCCCCGAGTTCGGTCAGGTCGACTGGGCGAAGGGGTTGGGCGTCTGACTCGCCCGCGTTGAGCGCCAGGTGGGAAATCAACTCGAGCGCGCGGAATAGCTCCTCCAGCCGCGGGGGGCGCGAGCGAGGCGGGGCGCGACGAGGGCGAGATCGTCGGCGCGCGCCCGCGAGGCGGTGGCGGGGGAGAGCTGGCGGAGTCGTCGAAAGAGGAAGTCCGTGGCGATGGCGAAGAGCAGCGGCGACAGCGGGCAGCCTTGCCGCGCGCCCGCCGAGGGCGCGAAGCCCTCGCAACTGCGCCCCCCGCGACGATCTGGCAGACGTCGCCGCGGCGCAGGTCCGCGATGAAACTGCAGAGGCACGGCGGGGCGCCGATCCACATGAGCAGCACCCGCGTAAAAGACTGGTCGATCGACGGGGGCGCCGCCCGAAAATCGAGGGAGATGCCGGCGCCGCCTTCGCGAGACAATTCGGCGAGCCGCCTCTCCGCGTCGACGTCGATCGGGCCGTCGCCCCCTCGACGTCGTCGCGCCGCGCCTGCCGCCGGGAAGATCCGGAGGGGGCGAGGACGCGCGAATTTCAGACGAAAGATCCGCTTCGAACCAGCGGCGACGGAGCGCTCGATCCGTCGGCCCCGCAGTGAAGACACGCTTCCACTGGCGCGTGAAGTCCGCGGCCACGCCGGCGGGTCGCGCGCGCGGCGCACCGTGCGCGTCCTGGGCGGCTTGCGCGAATTTCCCCCTCCTGGCGACGCGCGGGAGAGGGGGCGGGGCCTGCGTTCTTCCTCCGGGCGCGGCGCAGAACCTCCCGGGGGTCGGGCGACTCCTCGCGCGACCGCGCGAGAACCGCGATCGCGCGGGCGCGAGCCAACTCCACCGCGAACTCGCGAACTGGGATGGGGCCACAGCCCGCGGCCAGCGCGGGGTCGCGCGGGTCGGGGGCCCAGGAGCAGAGGCGCGGGCGCCGCTGGGGCACGACAGCCCGAGCGGACGCCACGGCGCAGCCCATGTGGTCGTCGGAGGAGCCCACGCAGGCCGCGCGCTGCACGGGGCCCTCGGCGGCCACTGCGCCGCGGATGGCCGCGCGCAGGAGAGCCAGGCATTGCGCCGCCGGGCGGGTCCACTGGCGGCCGGCTTAAGGGGGGGCGCGCGGCGGGCGAAAAACGCCGGGCGGCGTTTGCCGACGCCGACGGCCTAGTCGTCCATCCCGACCGTGGCGCGGCGGTCTAGCAGGCGGTGGCCTTTGCGCGGGCCCTGTCAGGCCTGGGCCGCGACCGGGCGCAGTCGCGCGATGCGCAGGGTTGGCGCACCTCGGAGACAGCAGGGAGGAGTCGAGACCAGCGAGTCTCCTCCTCCTGACCCCGCTGGCCCGAAGGCCCCCGTGGATTTGCCGACGCGGCACCTGGCCTCAGCGACCCGCTTGAATACGCTGGCGACAACGGACGGCGCATCGCGCGCCCGGCGATTGTCCCTCGGGCGGGCGACGGCAGCTCGAAGACAGGCGGGTCGCTGGCGGACAGGGATCACCTCCGCGTTGTGCTGGGGCGCCGCTGCGTCTCCGAAGGGGCAGCGAAGTCGGCGGGGGCGCCCGCCTGGAAATGGGCCACATGGAAATCCACGGCGCCGAGCAACCGTTCGGCCGCAGGGCGGCGGCCGGGCCCGGGCGCGCGAGGGCCCGCTCGCGTCGCGGGAATTGCTCCAATAACGATTCCTCGGCTACCGCGCCGACACCTCCGCGACGCGCCGCGCCCGGGGCCAATCGCGCCCGGGGGCCGCGCAGGGCCGCAGTCCACTTCGAAGAATCCGCGACGCCGCGGGGCTCCGCGATCGTCGCGACGTCGCGCTGGTGAAAGAGACGTTCGAAGTTCTTGAACTTGCTGCTCCGCCGAATTGCGCTCTCAGCCAAGGGCGCCTGCGCGTTCCAGGATCAGACGGCGAGGTCGCCCCGGGCTGCCCCTGGTGGAGACGCCGTGGCTGGTGGCGCACGCGTCGCAGGCGTCGCGACGCATGCGTCGGCGGCGCAAGGTCAAGTGCCCGGCGGAGGAACGCGCGCTGGCGCAGCAACAGCGGGACGTCGCAGCGACGGCGCGCACGGAAAGCTTGCTCGTGCGGACAGGGAAGAAAGATAATAAACACAATAATTATACCAAAAATTAAATTAAAAGATAAAAATAAGAATAATAATAATAATACTACTGTTCATAGGAAGAAGAAGAAACATAAATGGCGGATGGGAATCAGCGGCAGCGGCAATCGAATCCACCTCGGCGACGGCGCGGCCGCTGTGGTTCGCGGGCTGTGGGGGGCCCAGGAGGTGTAGCGCGACGCCCAGCATGAGGGGCGCGCATCCTGAACAGTCAATGGCCCAGGCCACGGCCCCAGCGGGGGCCAGTCAGTAGGCAACGCCGCCGCCCCGCAGCCGGTCCTGCAGGTCGTTGTGGACCTGGAGGCGGAACGCGTCAATCCCGATCTTGATGGTCTCGCCGTGGAGAGCCGCCTTGACCCGAAACGCCTCAGAGAGGTCCGTCAAGAACAGACGGGATCGGCCAGGCGGCGCCGAAGGGCTTGTGACCGAAAACCACTTCCACGTGCCGATCTTGCTGCCCCGTCCGTCGGTCTGCTCATTCAGCTGGGGTTGGATTCCATGGGTCGTCTGGTCTGGGGTCACGGATATCCGCGCGCCGCCCGGAAGGGGATTCAGTTTGTAGACGGCGGTGCCGGGGTCGTTACGTATGAGCATGTCCATCGTTGCCTGCCACGTCTCAGCGACGGCTTCCGTCGCGAGGAGGCGCTGGCTCTTGCCGAGGAACCAAGCGCCTGAGCAGAGCCAGCTTCCAATGCGAGGATGGGCGGCTACAACTCGCGTGCCTGGCGGTGTCGTCGGGGGAGGGTGGAGGATACCGTGAAGATCGCCGTCCCGAGGGTCCTGAGGAGACGAACTCCATGGGCTGCGGGTGGAACTCGACGTTCGGAACCACCGCCGCCCAGGTCTCGTTCAAGAAATCGTGCCACCTCAAGTCGCAGATCGCTTCGTTTGTGGTGCAGCCCGGGTGAAGTTCCAAGGGGACGATGAAGCGGATGTACTGGCACGGCGCCTCGACCGCAGAGCGGCGCAGGAGCGAAGCCAGGAAGCGACCGAGCGGGCCAAGGCGCCAGCGGGAGCCCCGAGTGAAAGCGGTTTGCCGCTGGTCCTGACCGCGTCCCAAAATGAGGGGTCGCCCTTTTCCGCCATGTCGGCAAGGATGCGGGCCTCGCTCGTGGGCGCGATCTGGCCCTGGCACTACGTGGTCGTCTGGATCGCGGCCGTGCCCAGGAGGGCGGACCACTGGGCGCAGACGACCTCGGACCGATCAGGGGCGTCGTCGAGGACCGTGAGGAGGGCGCGGCGGCCGAGCTCGTGCCAGAAGGGGAGCTTGGATGGGCGGGCCCGCCTGCGCTCCCTGAGCCAGCTGTCGAAGGAGGCGAAGCAGGTCGTGATGTCCGCATGCGCCCCTGCCTTATCGGCTGGTGCCCATGGCGCCGTGTCGATCATGGAAGCGAGGAGCTTGGCAAATCAAAGGCGGGCCCCGATGGTGTTCAGGTAGAGTTCTGTGCCGCAGCGCTCGATATTTTCGTGCCGTGGTAGACAAACCCCTCGCCAGGGGGGTTCGGGTGGGTTCGGGGGGGGTTCAAGGGAGTTCGGAGGAAAACTCATCCGAACACCGCTCAAGGTGGGTGGTTCGGGAGGGTTCGTGATGGTTCTGGACGGGGGAAAAGCAAAAGGGGAAAAAAAACCCGACCCTGTCAAGGCAATGCGAAGGGTCGGAAGGGAAACACAACACCCGCCCCCCCCTCAAGAGGAGTTTGGAAAGGTTCCAGATGGGAAACCCGAGGCCCCCTCAAGGGGGAATCGGGAAGGCTTTTCCTGAGGGGTGGTCTGGGAACTGCCACACCTTGCTGCACCAGACGGTGTGGTCAGGGACATCCAGCAGGTGACGAAGAGGGAGGGGTAAGCGGTCGCCGTCGGGGTTCCGCATCCCTCTCCTTGCCACCGCCCCCGCAAGGGGCCGTGATAATAACCTAGCCGGCAAAGCATCCTTGAGGCGATCACTTGGCGGTGCAAATTAGTGCAAAAAAGACTGCGGCTCAACAATAGCCGATACCGAGGCACGCCTCCGTTCTCCTCTTCCTCCTCCTCCTCTTCCTCCTCCTCCTCGGATTGGCGCGCATCCTTCTTGATCTCTGGAAGGAAGCGGCGTATGTGCTTGAAGAGAATCTTGGTCAACTTGTCGATAAGGACCGGAGTTCCGACGAGCCCTCGGCGGGGCGGCGAGCGGCAGCGGAAGACAGCACACACAGGCAGTAATGCACAGAAGAAAAGTGAAATAATTGTAAGGAAGCGCGGCAGTCGGACATCTACGTTGCAGCAATCACGACGACGGCAACCAGATGCAATGATCAGGGCCGGACACAAAGAGACACAACGGCAGACCTGAATGGGATACTGCTCCCTACCCCGTTTTGATTGGAGACGGAAAGGAATGAACAAACAACACCTCTTTCGGGAAACCCGCATTCACTCTTCAACATTCTTCCATCCTCCTCCGCACTGCTCGTCGCTCCTGATCATTATTTTCCTCGTCTTCCTTCATCTTCGTCTAATGTAACTACCTCCTCCCTGGCCTGTCCTCCCTGCTCCTCCGCAGCCTCTTCCTTCTTGTTCCTCTCTCCTGCTCCCTCTGACCACATCCTGCTCCTCAATATCGTCCCCCTCCCACTACTACATTTACTCTTCCTCCTCTGCGCCCTTCTCCAAATCCTTGTTGTCCTTCCCTTCCTCCTCCTAACCCTCCTCCTCCTCCGCCACGTCCTCATCATCCTTCGCCTATTCCTCCTCCTCCTCCTCCTCCTCCTCCTCCTCCTCCACATCATCATCATCATCATCATCATCATCATCATCATCATCATCATCATCATCATAATCATCATCATCATCAGCATCATCAGCAGCAGCAGCATCATCAGCATTATTATTATTAGCATCATCAGCATCATCATTATCGTCATCATCGGCAGCATCAGCATCAGCATCAGCATCATCATCATCAGCATCATCATCGTCATCATCATTGTCAGCATCTTCCACATCGGCATCAGCATCAGCAGCATCAGCATCATCAGCAACATCATCATCATCGCCATCGCCATCGTCAGCGTCAGCATCAACAACATCACCATCCTCATCACCATCGTCATCGTCATCAGCAACAACGCCACTCCCACCGTCAGCATCATCATCATCATCATCATCATCATCATCGCCACCATCATCATCACCGCCATCATCATCATCATCATCATCATCAGCAGCAACATCATCATCATCATCAGCCGTAGCATCGTCATCATGTTCACAATCACAATCGGCATCGCCATCGTCGGCAGCATCAACAGCATCACCACCACAAGTACCATAATGTGCATCATCAAGATCATCACCATCATCATCGTCATCAATAATATCATCAGCATCATCATCACCACCATCATCACCATCATCACCATCATCACCACCATCGTCATCATCGCCGCCACCATCATCATCTTTATTAGCATCGTCATCCGCCGCATCAGCACCATCTTATTCATAATCAGCGTCTCTAGTATCATCATCACCACCACAATCATCATCATCATCATCATTATCATCATCATTATCAGACGCATCATCATGATCTCAATCCATTCAGTCATCCATCCATCCCTCCCTCCAGTTCATCCTCCTGCGGATTGCCCTCAGTCTTACTCGTTCCTCATCCTCCAAGAATGATTATCTCATCGAGCTGCTACAGCGGCCTGGCCCTCATCCCTGCGCGTTACCTCTTTGCAACCATCTCCACATCAATGTTCCTCCACATCCTCCCTCCGCCACCCGTTCCTGCTCATCGTCCTTGTGTTTATATGCTTTGTCCTCCCACTCTGCTATCTAGCCCCTAGCCCGCTGATGGCAACTAGGCCAGGGACCTTTCATCCACCCGTGGGTGTTCGTTCGTTGACGTTGCAAACTGAATCGCGGGAATGGGGCGCGGCGCGCGGCGCGCAAGCAAGGAAGAAATGCCGCTCTCGCCTCAGCGCTGCGCATATTTGTTGCTGAAGATTGCGCTCGCGCGCGGATGCGGCGCACAATTTTCACTAGCGCAGCGGGGTCGCGCGCGAGGGGGAGACATCTCGTCGCTCTCTCCCAAGCGCCGCGCAAATACTGAGAAATGAAGTGGCGCTGCCGCTTGGTTGCGACGCACTGGATCCGCCCGCGAAAGTCGGCCATGGGGTCGGGGGCCAGCGGGACCTGCACATGGCGCTCCCGCCGAGGCGCGGCGCGCATGTCCGCATGTCCCGCTCGCCCCGTCGCCCCAACCCGAGGCGGGGCCGCGCCTCGAGCGGGCGAACATGTGGGGATCGCCCGAGATCGCCAAGCAGAACTCTTCTGCGAGCGGCGCTACCGCAGGGGGCACGGCGGGCGTGTTGCCTTAGCTGGTCATATTGGCAGTTTGTGCGCGCGGAGCGGGCCGCGATGTGCTCCCGCTGAGGCGCCGCGCGGGGACTCCCGGAGGGTTCTGCTCCTAACCCTGCGTCGGAGGCGGGGCGGCGCGCGCGAGCGCAGTCCGCTCGCTGGGTGGGCGAGCCTGGGTCCCAATGTCCAAGTTTGCAGGTAGCGATTCTTCTGGCTGGGAAGGGTGGGAGGAAGGTTGGGAGTGGGAGAAGCCATCTGGCTCGTTCGAGCTGGCTGGCTTGACTCCTACCCCAACTCTTTCCATTTCGCGTCCTCTTCCCAGTCGCAATTGCCCTCTTTGTCATAGTCCTCGTTTCTCCTCCTCCTGACGTTCCCCTTGATCGCGTCCGCCGTATTTCTCCTCGTTGCAAGCCTCATGATCCTTCTTCCTTGCGTAGCATTAGCATCACCACTCAATTCACCACTTCCATTGACTTGATTATAGCATCATTAACCACAGGACCGCCAATCATCGAACGAGGGTAAAGACAGAGGGCACAGGTGACTCCTGGCGTTTCATCTGACGATGGTCGATGAGAGGAAGGGAAGGGGAGAGGAAGAGAGAGAGAGAGTAAGAGACAGAGAGAGAGAGAGAGCTGGCCACGATAGCAACAGTATCTGCTCCTCCACTGCTCCTTCCCCCCGCTTCCCCCGTCTCGCCCGCCACCTCCTCCTCCTCCTCCTCCTCCTCCTCCTCCTCCTCCTCCTCCTCCTCCCCCCCTTCCTCCTTCTTCCTCCCTCCTCGTATCCCCCTCCTCCTCCACCACCTCCTCCTCCTCCTGCACGCCTGCTCCAAGCTCCGAGTCATCATCACTCCTCCTCCGTCGCCACTCCTATCTGTCCCTCACTCTCCTCACATGTCATTCTCCTCCACCTCCTCGTCCTCCTCCTCCTCAGCATCAACATCATCATAAGCATCACTATCGTTATAATCGTCATATGCGTCGTCATCATCCGCAAAATCATTATAATCAACACCAGTATCAGCATCAGCAGCATCACAGTCATTGTCCTCATCACAATCATCACCAGAATCATCATCATCATCATCAGCAACAGCATCATCATCATCATCGTCGTCGTCCTCGCCACCGTCCTCGGCGTCAGCAGCATCATCATCATCAGCATCAGCAATATCATCATTATCATCACCGTCATCAGCGGTATCATCGTCGACGCCGTCATCGTCGTGGTCATCGTCGTAATCGGCATCGCCACCATCATCATCGTCAACATCAGCATCATCATCATCATCACACTCATCAGCAGCATCACCACATTCGTCGCCGTCGTCGGTATCGTTATCGGCATCGTCATCGTTGTCGCCGTCATCATCAGCAGCATCAACATCATCATAAGCATCAACATCGTCATCGACATCGTAATCCTCATAATAATCATCAACACCACCAGCATCACCACCATCACCATCACTGTCATCATCAGCAGTAGCAGCAACAGCAGCATCATCAGCTGCAACAGGAGCAGCAGCAGCATCATCATCAGCAACAACATCCTCACCATCAGTATCAGCAGCAGCCTCAGCATAACAGCATCAGCACCATCCTAATCACCGCGCGGGGTCCCGTTCGAGGCTATCGACAAAAGCACTGCTCCCATCAGCCGAGGCACAGAAATAAGATTCGGGCCAGCCGGTGTTACCACCCTTGACAAGGATGGGCCCGTCGGAAGAGGGAGGACGATGGAAAATAGGCCGACAGAGGGAGAAGCCAGAACGAGGAGAAGGGATGACGGAGGACGGAAGACGGACAAGGGATGAGAGAGGGGAGGGGACGACGAGGAAGGAGGGGGGCGAGGATGGAGGAAAACAACGAGTGGTCTGGGGTAGCCACGCTTCGACTTACCCACCAGGTGGCCTGGTGGTGGCCCATCCACTTCCTGTCGCCATCAGTTCCTCCTCATCCACCTCCTCCCCCTGCTCTTCCTCTGCCCCACTCCCTCATATTCTTACCATCCTCCTCCACCTCTTCCTCCCCTCCCCCTGTTCCTCATCCTCCTCCTCCTCCTCCTCATTCGCCTCCTCCTCCTCCTCCTCCTCCTCCTCTCCGTCTCCACCCCGACACACAGAAGACACAAAACCATACTCAGACCCTCCGAGCCCTCCGCATTCCTGAGCAAGTATTTCAAAAAACTCCAAACGCCTCTCAGAATAGCCTCCTCCATTTTTCTCCACTCCCCCAACGTCCTCCTTCTCCTCCTCCGCCCTCCTGCTTCCGTCTCCTCCTCCACACAACCTACGGTGTACCTGGAGGCAGCTTGCTGTAGACCCGATGGCTCTCGAACCATGCTTTCTCGTCCTCCAGAGCCTCGCGGCGGAGAGACTGGGAGCATGAGGCAAACCCGATGTACAATACAGATGCTGCTATACACCCACCCGACCCGGGCCCCCTCCTCACAAGTCCCTACAAGTTGTCCCTTTCCACTGCGGGAAACGACCCCCTCGAAAGACGAGCGCCCCGTCGGCCTGCCATTTAGACCAGACCCCGTTGTGTAAGGACTCGTCACTCGTCTTCCACCCTGTCAGCCCACAGAAGTGGAAAGAGGTACATCGGGCCATCACACTCAGAGCGTTCAACTACAACTCCAGCTTGAAAAGGGTACTCCCTCAACTCGTGCAAGCGTTGACCGATTTCAGAAGTGTTGTGCAAGATTATGAGATGTCTTCAGCAAGTGGGGGAAGCACCTGCCCTCTATATGGGCAAATCGATGCACAGGATTGGACATCGGCTCAACACAAATCGAGGCCTCAAGCGGAAGAACCATTTTGAAAGACGAAATTACGCCCAGCCAAGGCCAAAACCCCATTTCCAAAACGACCCCTCTGATCCGTGTAGCTGCTGATCATATGAATAGAGCATCCTGGCGAACGCGCGGCCGCCCAACGCCACGTCTCGTGATGCGACAGGGAGGAGTTATCTGTAGGGACGATGGGTGGGGGAGGAGGAGGAGGAGGAGGAGGAGGAGGAGGAGGAGGAGCACGAGGATGGCGATGGAGAGAAGGACGAGGATGAGGAAGAGGAGAGGGCGGCGCGGACGAGCAGGAGAAGACGGGGTTGAGGCAGGGGGGAAGAGAAGGAGGAGGAGGAGGAGGAGCAGGAGGGGGAGGAGGAGGATGATCATCGGGGTGGACGAGAAAAGAGGAGGGGGATGGGGGAGCAAAAGAGGGGGGAACGAACCAGCCGCATGGAGCTGGCTGTTCGGGCCGTCCCGAGGCGCCAGCAGCGACCACGACTCCGATGGAAGGTACCCAGCGGTTGAGTTGCTTCAGACCGCCTGACCGGGGAGGACAAGAGCGGTGAGCGTCGAACCGATGCATGTTATCGGATCGGATCGGGAACATGCTTCGAAAGCAGGCCAGGAACAGGAGGGGGAGTAGATAGATGGGAGGCACGGGAGAAGGACCAGGGGGAGGACCAGGGGGAGGAGCAGGGGGAGCAGGGTGCCGAGGAGGGAGAGAGGCAGAAGGGAAATGAGGACCTCCCGCGTGTCCTGGGGCCCGACCCCTCCCTGGCACCAGGGAGGCGAGTCCTGGAGCAGACGGGTCTTTCGAGTGCGCCTGGGCTAGGCAGCGGGAGGTTAGTGCAGCATGGTCCGACGCATGTGCGCGGGCGAGGGGAGACCAGGGGACGGGCTGAAATGAGAAGCCATGCAACCTGGGAGTTTTCATGGCCGCGGCCGTGATATCCGCCCTGGCCCCCCTCCCCAATCCTTACCCCCTTATTCGACGCCCCCGAGTCCTGGACCTATAGACGTCCACGGCGACACCATCATCGAAGACCGACCGAACCGACTGCGAAACGGAAACCGGACGAAATCGACGGGCCGAACAGAGCCCTAGAAGGACGCAGCGGCACAACCACCGGCCGAAGCCAGCCGATCGAACTCAGCCGACAGCCAAGCAACCGAAGCGACCGAACCGCGGACACCCTTGGGACCAAAGGACCAGTCTCAGGGCTGGACCTAAACGCTGTTATTCTTGTTGTGTTCGTTTTGTTGTTCGTTCTGATCTACCTGCTTCCTGTACCTCCCTGCCAAAACGAAACACAAAACATAGCCGAAGTCCAGCAAAACAGCGTTTAGGTCCAGCCCTGACCAGTCTCTCACCCCGCTGGGCCGGGAGCCCGAAAACGCTGAAAAACATCCGGGACCCCTTCCTTTCATGGCGGCCCTGCCTCCGCCCCATCGTAAGCCGCGGAATCCCAAAAGTCTTGACGCCTGCCCCGGGACGAATTTGTCATCCCGAGGCGTCTCTTTGACGAGCCCGAGGCCTGGGTAAGGCCCCCAGAGGCCAAAAACCTCGCGCCGTGCTTTTTCACGACGAAAGGCGGTCTGGGCCAGTCGGTGGGACAAGTCTCGGGCCTCAGACGGCTGTTCGAGACGATGCACGCCCTCCCAGACGCCTCCAGACGAGGCGCAGCTTCATGGAACGTCCAAACATGATTAAACAACGAAAACTGACAAAACCTCCCACCTTCGATGCTCCCCCCCGAAAGCCGCGCCATGCCCCGACCCAAGCCTCTTCTGGAGCGCGCTTTGGGCTGAGATTCCTAGTGGGATCCAGCCGTGATGACGTAAAGCCTCCGAGAGGCCCGAGGAGGGCGAAAGCGTCAAACAAAATCTACACTTACTTCTTCATGGTGACCCTCCCTCCGTCGCGCCTTGACCACTGGCTTGCTGTCGAGGATATCCTGCTGCGTGCGCATCTTCACGCCCACGTACCCGAGGCGGAGGGGGACGTCCTCCGGCCGAGGATCGCAGTCCGAGACTGGAGGTTTTGACATGTTCTCAAAGATATTCGTGTTGCTTCTGGGTGCCTCAACGGGGATCTTTGGAGCGACGCAAGTCGGGTGCCCAGGCGGTGGCGGAGAGATATGCCTCGCCCGCGGCTCGTGCAGAAGCCTCCCAAGCAAGCCCTCCGCCACAAGCCGCCAACGCGGCACGCCACGTGGGGAAGAAAACGTCTCCGAGAGAGCGTGTTTTAACACATGTTCCGCGACAACGGCCGTTAGAAATCCCGACCCACCCACCCTGGTAGCGTCACGTTTCGCGCCTGCGCCGTAAAGCTGACGACATATAAGATTAGGCTGTAGGTTTGGATCTGCCAGATATAGCTGGGCACAGTAGCAGGGCTTTCTGAGAGTAGTCACTAGCAGCGGACATAGCGCCTGTGCAAGCCACAATATGCCCGCGGAGGGACCTCCAGGGTACACCACAATGCCTGCGTACACCACAACGCCCGCGTGCACAACAGCGCCTTAGAACATCGGTGTGAACAACGATGCTTGTGTAGACCAAGATGCCTCCGCACACCATGCATGCGCCAGGGTAAAAGCCACAATGCCTATACACACACCACAATGCATGTGAACCAAGATGCCCCTGTGAACACCACCAAGATGCCTCCGTACACCACAGTGCCAGTGTACACAGTACATGTGCACCACAATGCGTGCATACAACACGCTGCCCGTGTTCATTACACTGTCTGTGTATACCACAACACATGTGTACACAACACGGACTGCGTACACCAAAACTTCAGTACACCATAGCTGTTGCAACAATTACTAACGTTTGCGCTACAGCGAATGTGTACACCACACTTCCTTTTCGCACCACCGCAGCCGCGTTCACAATAGCGCCTGTACACAACAATGACTGAACACACCACGTTGCCCGTGTGCACCACAACACCTGTACACCACACTGCCTGTGTACACCACAAAGCCTGGTCCCGACGGGGGAAGAATCCGGCAAGTCGTAGGGAGCCCCAACGTATCAAATCGAATATGATGAGTGCCACGCGGTTGCGGGTAAGAGTGAAGGGGCGGCAAGATCGTCGGTTGTTTGCGAGGCTCTGAAGAACCACACCGCAGGGGCCGAATGCTTTTGTACGTTACAGATCAAGTCCACCACGGGCGCCGAATTTTCGTAAATGCAAAATGGGTGGGTCGCAGGTGGGTCGCGGGTGGATCGCGGGATGGGTTGCGGATGGGTCGCGGATGCGTCGCGGGCGGGTCGCGGGCGAGAGCGACGACAACAAGCAGAATCCGAGTCGCGGAATCCCACTTCAACCACGCACCCAGGGACAGAGTAAGACCGTTCGGCCCCTTCACCCTCATGTGTGATTGTTGGATTTCTGACCCAAGGTACGCTACCCCCTTCGGAGCCCACTATGCATTCGCGTACCACATAGCGTATGTGCACCTCAACGCCTGTGTACACAATAATGCATGGTTGCTTCACAAAGGCTGCAGCAGCAGCATCTGTGTGCACCTCAACGCCTGTGTACACCATAGCAACTGCGCATACCACAGGGCCTGTGTGAACAGCAACGCCTCTACGCCACAGCGATGCTGTGTACCACAATACATTGTTCATCCCCGATGCTCATGCACAAGCATATGTACGCACGACAGCGCCTGCGTACACCACGGTGCATGTGTACACCACAGGTGCTGATGCAGCAGGTGTGCACCACAACGCCGCCTTGCCAGTGTACACTAAAGCGCCTGTGTACAAGCTGCCAACGTGCACCTGTGTAGGCCTCCGGAAGTCTCCAGACGACGACGTCGGTCGTCGTCTTCGTCGTGGTAGTGGTCGTCGTCGGTCCTAAACAACTCCCAGCCTGGACGTTGCCGAGCCCCTCCCCCCACGGGCGAGAATCCTAATATTGCCGCCTCCCCCCCCCCCCCCCCCCGCAAGCGCAAACCGTGACGCAGCCGCCCCCCCCCTGCCGTGATGACAGCCATCAGGGGGAAACGGGCTCCTGCGCGTGACCTCAAGCGAGAATTCTTTCACCAGGCCAGGACGCATTCGGGGGAGAAGAGGGAAGATGAGGGAGATGCGGAAGACAGCAAGACACCAAAACCAGTTTCCAAAGCGGCGCGCATGGGGGCTAGGGATACATTGGAGATCACAATGTCCTCCCCCGTGGACAAAAATCTATGACCGTCGGCGGTACCGCCCGATGTTCTACCCACGTCAAACTCTGGTCTGCGACTGCCACTCCTGTGCCCCCGTGCCGCTCTCGAATCCCGCCGGGCGTAGAAACCAGACGGACACAAGGAGGAGGGGGCAACCGGCGCAGCAGCTCATTCAACCCCAGGCCCCTTTCGGTAGCCCTGCTACCAACGCCATCGCATCACCGCCGCTACGTCACCGTCATCGCCAATCACCCCCACTGCCGCCATCATCAACACAATCACATTCATCATTGACAAATGGGCATCGTCATCGTCATCGTCGTCATCAACATCGGCGCCGTCATTGGCCTTGCCGTCCTCATCGTCATTATCGCAACCACCATCGCTGCCACCATCATGGTGGCCCAATGTGTTGCCAAACAAGTTGCGGGTTGGTGAGTGGGATGTTTTCACAAGCAGCGAAGTTGACGACTTCAAGGTGGGCCGAGTTCAATCGCACCACCACATAGCTTACACCACATAGCCTGCACCACATAGAGTTCACGTACACAGTGCAATAATTGATTGTTTGGGATCCACGCTGGTCAGCAGTATACAACAAGCGAATCATGATCGCGCACAGCTTGAAAGATGACCCGCGTGTCATTGATACATTAGATCCCTCCCTCCTTGACCCGAGCAGGCGAGGCCTCCCTCCCCCAGCAACATCTTGGCCTCCTCCTGGAAAGGGGGAGCGGTACTGTTACCACCACTCCCCGGAGCTCTTCGGACCAATGTTTCGAGACAAATCCAGCCGCGACGACGAGGGCTCTCCAGGATGAGCAGCGATATCGGCATCTTTTTCCCCCCCTGACCTCCCCGCCCCCGTCCCGAGCGGGCCGGGCTCCTCCCCCAGTAGCATCCTGCTGGCGTCGGTGCCCTTGGGCAGACGGGGGGGAGGCGCGCCGCGGACTGCACGCGGTTCCCCGGCCGCCCAGGGGAGGGCTGGGCTGGCGTCGCTTCCCCTCTGGGGCGAGTCGAAGGGGGGGAGCAGGAGGACTACCAGGACCAGGGCAGAGAGGGCGAGGACGAGGATGGCGACGACGTGTCGAGGAGGAGGAGGAGGACGACGACGAGGACGAGGACGACGAGGAGGAACACGACATGCTTATCGAAATCGATTTCGAGGACGAGGGCGACGACGGAGGACGAGGACGACGAGGACGACGACGAGGTTGAGGAGGACGAGGACGAGGACATACCCGCCACCGTGCCTTGTGCACACTTGGGCGTGTTAGAATGCTCTTTTGCTGTTTGGTAAGGCTTCTTTCGTACGTTCGAAGGCCGACCCCTCCCCCTCGCCGCGCACATCCTCCGAAAATCACCTCCCTGGAGCTCATTTGGGACAATTCTCAAATTAAAATTAAACAGAATACAATAAGGGACGACAAAAAGCTTCCCAGATGGGGGTAAACACAATCCCCAACAGCACAAACAAAACAAAACAGTACAAACAGCAAGAAGCACACCAAAAACGGCCAAACAACAAAATACTGAAACACGCGCAAACCAAACAAAGACAGCCACTCTCGCCCCAAGACTGCCCAACAACATCCAAGGCGGCCCAAGACTGCCTAGGAACGCCCCCAGACGCTCCAGAAGGAACCCAAGATGGCCTCAAGACTCAAGACGGCCCCAGAGGCCCCCGAGACAGTCCAGGCTGGCTCCACGAGGACGTCGAGAGTAGAAAATCCCAGCAACCCTTTAGGGCGTGAGTGGTTTACTGGGTTTCCTCTTCCACCCCCCCTCCTTTCCGTTCGGGGAAGATTTTCATTCCCTATTATTAGTCACCCCCTACCCCAGGCGACCGGCAGCCAACCATGACCAATGCGACACCCCCCGCACCCCTCGGAAACAAAACGATACGAAACACACTTTGGGGCAAGATCGTGGGTCCTGTTCGTGGGCCTCGCGAACGCTTTGAATCCCATCAGCCCTCCGGGCGTAGGTGGTTTAGGGAGTTTCCTCTTCCCCTCCGGGGGGGGGTACCCCTACCCCTACCCCTTTCCCCTGGACCTGGACGGGGGGTTCCGCGACGCGTTGGAGCGTCCAAAACGGCCTCGGCGAGGAAGCCAACATCATCGGTTCTACTATGGTTTTGGCCCCGTGTTTGCCTCCTGGGGAAGGAAGCTAATTGAGCCCCCCCCTCCTGTGATCGATCTCCCCCAACATGGCCCCCCAAAGCGCCCAGGACGCCGCAAAAAAAACCGAGATGGCCCCGAGATGGCCTCATGTGGCCCCAAGAAGCCCCCCAAAGGCTTTTTTTTCCCTGGAGAAGCGCGAAAGCGCAGAGGCGGGAGCGACGGTGCGCGGTACGGAGCCGCCCAATCCATGGGCGGCTGAAAGGGGCCTCTCAAACGGAGAGACCCTCGAGCTCCCAAATCCGCCACCCATGAGGGTTAGAAGGACCTCTTGGTGGCGAAAACGGCACGGGCAGTCTTTGCCCGTTGCTGAGGGAGCATACCGAGGAGGAGAGCCGACAAGTTTTTGCGACCCCTCCTCGAAATGTGCTTGCATGGTTTCCCAAGTCCATCAGAGCGGACCCGAAACCTCCCATACAGGCCACAAGAAAAACAAAAAACAGTCCCTTGAACTCCATTCTGAAGTTTGTGGGACGGGTGAATCTCCCGCCCACAAAACACCGTCGGCACAAGGACTCTCGACGACGTTCCTTGGCACTGGGTGTTGAGAAACTCTAACGCAAACTTACGCGCCGTACGTCCACCACACACCGAGCATTGCCAAAACGACCTATGAGGATTCGGAACCTGGTGCTCGGTGCGACTGAGGGCTCGACTTAACTTTAGGGCGTCCCGCTCGGGCTTGGAGAGCTTAGTACGTTCAACCTTAGGCCGCGGCGAAGGAAGAGAGCGGTGGGAGGCACAATCAAGGAGAACAGTCGCCAAATGTTTCCTGACAACCGCCGCGACCTGATCAACTAACTGGATCCTGGCAACCTGCGCATGCGGAAGCTGGGCCTCCTCGGCAAAACCCATCGGCTCGCTCGTCCGCGCGCTGGTTGGCAAAAAAATGGACAAGAGGACAACCTTGCTCCAGGGCTTCGGCCTGCGACAGGTGCGATTCAACCTTGAATAGCCGCGCGTCGAGCCCCGAGGAATTTCTGTACACCTCGTGGAAATGCAACCAATCAGAAACGTTGCTCGTGGGAAACCCCCCTCGAACGATGGCGGAAAAACCTCGAATCACGTAAGCACTGTCCGTCACGAAATGTCTCTGTACACGAGCTGAGAGGGACTGAGTAGCTTGTAAGAAAATGGTGAAAGCCCTGAGCTCTCCCTTATTGACAGACTGTTTGAGCTCCAACGGGCCTCCCCAAGACTGTGACTCAATGGTCGGTTCACGTGCAAGGTGGGCGCCGTCTGGGAAAATAAGGGTTGACCACCCAATGCGGCGCAGACGTGGATCGGCTGAGTGGACCCCCCCCCCCCCCCCCCCCCCCCCCGCTGGCATCACCAGCTCCGAACACCACCCCACTCCGAAACTCCGCATCCGAGGCCGAGAGAGAGAGGTCGAGGAGAGGAGGATCATCTCTGGGGGGGGTCAACTTCAACCCAAGATCCTGACACGATGCCGCGGTGCCGGAAACAGGGTAATTCATCACAGTCGCGAAGCGCGCGGTCGGTGACCGCTCTCGGGGCCACGCCCTCTAAAGAAACATTACATGGACACTCCCAGTGAGCGCGCCGTGGGGTCTCGGGCACCTCTTTGCATCTGGGACAAATAGGGTCCGCCTCAGGAAAACACTCATGCACACGCTGCGCAGGCCACAGATTTCCTGTGGCGATGGCCTGGGGGACCCCAAAGAGAACGAACTCTCCCTTCCGCTTGAGGCTCCTCAAGAACTTCCTCAAGGGTCCCAGGTCAGGGATCCTCTGGTCGAGACCCCGTCCAAGATACTCCTCAGCAGCCGCAGTCCAAAGTGACCGCTGGATAGACAAGGCGAAAACGTGTTTCAAATCAGAAGAATCAAGGTCCCGAACCGTGTGCTTCTCAGGCGGGGCGAAAAACTCAATGCCATCTGGGCTCACCCATCTCCAAGGGCCTCGGGGCTCCCAGGAATACCACAAAAGAAGACAGACAGTAGCAGAACAGATGCCCCAGACATGGTGAGACCAGGCGTGCTGCGGTCGGGCTGAAAAACCTTTCACGGTGCGAGCCCATGTCGACTCAATGGGCTTCCGTTCGACATTTGAGGTGGCCAGGGAAAGCGCCCAAGAGTTGATGACATCCATGGCCGTGGAGATAGCGGGGTCGGTGGGGCCCATGTCCAGCTGGAGCTGCGTGGTGAGTGAGCGCTGGGTGCTACCTTTGCGAAGAATGCGACCAAGAGCTCTGCGCCAGCTTGCGAGGACCGAAGGTGGGGCACCGTAGAGCTTCCCTGCATAGGAGACGCAAGGGAGAGCGGCAGCAGTGGCAAGACGAAGCCCAATGCGGCGGTGGGCGAGGGTACTCCTTCCAATACAAGCTATTCGATGAAACCTGAACCTCGCTTTGTCTACTCGCTTCTTGTGCTTGGTCTGCCCCATGCGGATGTTGCCTCGATCAAAACCCAGGTCCATCACTCGGTCATGAAAAGGTACAGTAAGCCCCAGCTGCTTCACATTGGACTCTAAAGCCATGCCTGCCAGTGCCGAAGAGCTGAGAATAGTAGACTTAGGCGAGATAACAAGGTCTAACTCCTTGCAGTCATCACGGAGGATGGTGGCAATCTTCGTTAACTGAGCAACGGCAAACTTCTTGGGGGCGGCAATGCGCGCGTTGACGTCGTCCACCCAAGATCTCACTGTGACCGAGCGATGCGCTTCACACATGCGTTCCAACGTACGATACAGAATACAACGTGAGAGATCCACCGCGGAGCGTAGCCCAGCGACCATAGCCCGTTGGGGCAAGATAGGCTGCGAATAATGTCCAGATTCTTTAAGTATCCTGGGGGCGAAACACTGCTGCATAGTTAGAGCCAGCGTATGCGGAGGAAAACTCTTGTCCCCTGCCGTATTGATTAGAGCAATCCAGTCCAAAGAACCGTAGAAAGCCTTGAGGCCCCAAAGAACTTCGATGTGAACAAGATCCTTGAGCGGGGACATCCTGACTGCCTCGTCGCCGAAGTTACGAAGCAAGACAGCGCGAAGGGATGACGACCCAGCGATGACCCCATCCCAGTGGCCAGCTGTCTGTCGGCACCATTCTCGATCCAACGGGCTCCTGATGGCGCCCCAGATCCGGACCAAGAGTGATGCAACTCCGATCGCCCTGTCATCGCCAGCCGACTTGGGAAGCAAGCTGATGAAAACAGTGAGCAGCTGCCATGGCCATGAGACACATCGCTCCACCTGATGGTAGATCCCCACCAAGTCCTGGATGGCGGAGTCGGGCAAGCGGCGCAGGTCAGTGATGCTGAGAGCCTCGCAACCCTTGGCCTTCTTGGGGGATCTGTTCTGTAAGATGGTTCTGACCTGCACTACAGTGGTCGGTTCTAGGTCCGTGTCCTTGGCCTTCTGACGGGCCTTCTCATATGCCATTAGGATCTTCGCCTGGTCGAGCCGTCTGCTGGACCAAACTTTCTCCCACCACTGCTTCTTAGATACCATGATGTCAAATGGAGTTGCCAAGGTTCCCTGAACCACGGACTGCATTGTTGGCCACCGTGGTCTTTAACTCCTCAAGCTGATCAAAACTGCACTCATGAACTCGGTGAAGAGTGGAGGTCCACTTCCGACGGGCGGCGGCCGTGAGTGGGAGCGAAGCTGAGGTGGGCATAGTGAGGGCGAGCTCCTTGATGCGTGACTGAATGAAAGTGGTCTTGGAGGAATCCGCATGCTCCCTGAGCAAACCCTCGAGGAGGGCCAGAAGAACAGC